TTACTGTAAACATCCAACATATCGGGTCCTTGTAAAAAATCAAGTACTTAATTAATTTCGCGTTTAAAACCGTTAATTGAAATGAAGAACCTTAAATTAAATGGAAACTATTTAATTTAAGGTAGTTGATAGTTTTAAACGCGATATGAATAGTTAAACTTATTTTATCTGTGGGCCAACGTAAATTAGTATTTTCAAGTAAGTTTAACTAATATCTATCGCGTTTTAAACAGTTAAAGTGTTTTATTTAAATGTGTACTACTCGCGTAAACGACAGACAGTATTCAGTATATATGAGTATTAATAAAAAGGAGAAGACGCTTAAAACTTGTATCTCATTACACTAATCTTTTAACATAAACGGTATAATTTAACAGGGGAAACACGGTTTTCTTCAAACTAGGACGATGTTTTGTTGGCAACTTGTGATTCTCTTAAGTTTCGCAACATTATGCAGATTGTTGGCACAATGTATGTTACTTGCGAACTAGGTAACGTGTGACAAATTTCAAAAGTTCCTGCACTTCACTGTGATGGCATAGAATGGGAATTTATTAACATATTTTTTTTAATATTCCCGAGTTTTACTACAACGTGAGACGAACGACAGCTCTACTAGGGAACTATGTTCTTATATAAATCGATGGATGGATAAGTTCTGATAAAATTTAATCAAAATCAAAACTCGAACAAGTTCAGAATTGATAGATACATATATGATTAGTTATAGTTATCTGTACATGAAGTACATACACTGTTAAGTAAAGATAATGAATATAAGAGATTATTTTATTGAATTAAAATTAGCGTTTATAATATAAAAATGTATTATTAAAATCAAAAATGTTATTTACAAACGATTGTTAGCAGCTGGTGGTTGCCGCCTTTATAGCGATATGTTTGAGAGTTAAATTCCTATCAGCGTGTCCGAGCCATCTTTTAATAAATTCTTGGTAAAAACAAGTAAATATCTTATGGATCTCTAACCATGATCCATTTCCGTCATCCAAAGCCTAACAACTCGACATCACATCTTGTTTAGATGTTATGTGGCTGGGGTTTTTCAGCTTCCGTCAAGTAAACAGTGTTTGTCTGTCCTGCTCTATCATAAAAAAATGATGAAAAGCGGTTGATCTCCGGATTTCTGATTATCGAAAGCTTATTTATGTCAATAGTACATCTTCATGAACTCCAAGGTATAAGGCCGCTAGAGCCAGGGTTGCCTAAATGCAATTTTATGATTCGACTTATTTATATTTTGATGGTCTAAAAATGTTAATCTACAAGATTAGAGGCACAGTGAACGAAAATTGTTAACATAAGTCTTAGACTAGGAATAGTACAAATTCATTTTCGTCTAAGTTAATTGCGCATGTTTCTTTTCCTCCTTATTGAAAATCATGATTTTTGTTATAAGGCTACTCTGCCTACAGAAATATGTAGCAAGATATATTATCATAAACTAAACATAGCTTACATAATCAATTTCACTGATTACCATACTCGCTAATTTAATGTAATGCACCACCATTATTTAAGAATACCTAGTGTAAATTATAATATCCCTTCAACACGCGACGAAGGTCAGAATTAAAGCAGGGCGCAGGGCTCGAGCAATTTGCTAGGAACGTGGCTATTAGCAATTCACAGCAAATAACATATAACAACAGTAATCAGTTGGGCTATGAAAGAAAAATCGTATTTCGTAAGTCGAGGCGGTGCCAAGCGCAGATTTGGACGGCAGTGTATCGTGAAATTAGTTTAGTACCACTATATAATTACGCACCCTCACTTTTTATAGCATTATATATATATACACCATTGTAGGGTGCGTCCCTAGAAGATTGTTATGACGAGAATGTCAACCCAGTCTGCGACTTGATGTATTGACTGCGTTTTGAACATTGTTTCTATGTATGAAAAAGCATGAGTCGTTACTACGTGTTACGTTGTTAAATATATTATTATTGTTTGTTACCGGCGGCATCGTGGCAAGCCAAGTTCAAACAAAGGAACTGGCAGCGCTAAATGTTTCTAGAAAACATAATGTCAGACCTGGTTTATAAGAGACGATTGTTTTTTGTTTTGTACATTACCTACTTACATTTGATAAATCGATTATTTATATATTTCAAGATATAAATATTTTGGTCAAAGAAACAATAAAAAAATATTTCGTTGCAAACTATTTAAAAGTGTAATCCCTTTTCCTTTATTTACAGGTAAGTAGTTGATCAGACACTACAGTTGTGCGCTGACCAAAACAATTTATTGATTCGGGTTTCGAACCCGGGACCTCTCACGTTTACGGCAATTTAGTTACAAAGGCAGTGCAAAATATTATGTTAACCATATTTTTTATGGACTCTGGTCTAGACCTCATAACCAACATATTTATTATAACACATAATTATACATATTAATATATTTAATAAAAATAGTTACTTAAAACTTATAATAAATTTCATATACTACAAGTAATGCATAAGAGCATAGTAAAGAGGACATAGAAATAAAACTCCAGCTGTGAGATACATTTCATAGATTTATTATATAAAATCTTAATCTACTTTTGAATTTTAACTTAATATAGTATAGTAATATGTGAAATTTACAGAACTATACGATTAGTACAGATAGTAAGTATTAGCTATAATTATTGCGCGAGATGTCGTGCAGACATCCTTAGTTTCAGAATCGCTAGAATACTTAAGTACCGAATCTTAGGTGATACATAATTTAAAAAGCTCAGATTTATACCTATATTATATCTATGTCAATGTATGTACATTATGATATGAGAGATTTGAAAATATTATATGACTTTGCTAAATTAAAGAATATATTTTAAGCACCTAATCGTCTAAATTTAACTCGTAACCGTTTCCTGTCGCGAAACATTATTTCATTGGAAGTGTACGGAATATTAAAATATATTTTTAAATGGCCGGTTTCAATGTGAGTCGTGAAGATGAAGAAATTAAGAGATTTCGAAAGAACAATACTTTATCTGTGGCGTCCGTAATAAACTTCTAGAAAAAATATTTTCACAATTTCATAAAACGTTTTTGTCTTTCAAATTCAATAGCTATGTATAAATAGGTGGTGTAAGTACATAAGTATAATACAAGCTCTTAAATAGTACTTTATGATATGGAATCAAGTGTCGAAAGGTACCAGTGAGGATGATATTACAACATTACTTACGAATCGTCTACGCTTACCTTAACATCATTCTTTGTACAAAAATATGCAGAATTATTCTCTAAAACACCTTCTACTAATTTACTAATATACTTTACGTTAATAAATATTTGTAAAAAATATATGCCAGGACCGTGATGCGTGTGAAATCCCTCTTTCTACTTAGACATAGGGCAGACAGTTTTCTGTGTCCGTTTCAATGATCCAGTTTATTTACAAACAAGAATTGATCATACTGTGCCCCACACAACCAAAACTGATTTTAAACCAAGTCCAATGTAACAGATCCGGCCAGGCATATATTTTTAATTTATGAGCAAGCTTTTGTATTTAGTTACATATTATTATTGCTGACATTACGTTTACATATAGGAAAAATTATACATTTGCGAAATTTTTAACGCACAAAAAACAGCAAAATAACACTTATAAATATTTTTGAAGATTTATGTATTTCATATTGTTACTTGTACAAATATCTTTTATTTTTCAGAATTCTTAAACATTGTTACTTCTCGTGGCAGTGATTTAATTATGTGTGACAGTTGACATCTTAATAAAGCCGCCTAAATTTCGTAAAGACTATACAATATGCAAGATGGCGTATAACTTACGCAGAAAAGATATTGTGCAGTCTAGACAAAATTTCCAATAACCACTTAACGCTTAACGAATTTTTTATATATCACAGGCTTAAATATATTTATTATTTGAAGGGACGAGCGTTCTATACACTTAGAGAAAATTAGGTAACTATTTACACGAATAAGGGGCAAAATAATGAGGCAAACCCACAACCCTTAGAGATTTCAAATTACAGAACAGCTAGCGTATTCACTCATTAGTAAAAAGGCAACGAGTTTGATCTGTGTTTTAACAAACTTAATTACGAATAGGGTCAAAATTTGCCCGTTTCCCGTGCCTTTGTTTACGTACTCTTTGTGTTGGCTATCCGCTGTTAGAGACTAAACACACCCATGTTAGACTATTCATAACATTTAAGTAAAATAAAATATGACCTTAGTGTTAGCTCCTTTTCAAAGTATTTGTGAAAAGTTGTTTGTTGTATTGTGACTTTTTGCGATGGAAAAATCACATAAATACGATTTAAAAGAAGTCTTACACAGGTCTAAATGCAACAAAATGGCAATATATAAATAACTTAGATATATTAGGACTGTTACTACCACGTACACAATTTAGGCTCGAACCACGGCCAGGATGTCTAGTATAAGTTCTATAGTTAACAAAAAAGTTAAACGTCATCGAATTCTTCTCTATGGTTGATAGCTGAAATTAGGGTAGTACAAGAAATTTACTTACAAATTTCTAAACACTAATACAACATTTCGCTCGACCAAGGATACCTCTCGATAGCACGTCGAGTGTAAAAGTTAATAGCACGATTATATCCAACGTTTTCGTTAACTAACGAACTCATACTAGGGGTACCGCGCACTTTCAAAATACTAACAATTTACTACCTTAAGCGTACTTACATGAGATTTACTTCACACGGAATCACCAACAAAGCGTCGCACAACTCTAGTTTCCGTTAGATTAAAAATTGTCCGTTTAATTTTGAATTTAATCACCATCTCATGTTTGCACAACACGTTTAGGAAAATATACTGGGTACACTGGTTCTCACTGGATACAGTTGCCAGAAGTGTTTGACACATGTAGATATATTAGAACACGTTTATGTATTTCAATGCGGCTGAAACGTAAGGTACGGGGATCGTACCGTAGTACGTCACAGACTGAAACATGAGATAAGCGATGTTTAGAAGCTATCACACAATTTCATTTGGATGCGTGTTTTGATTCGAATCGTTCTGGCGAGCGCATTGCTGGAAAAGAAAACGTTTATATATTTCAACTATTCAAAAAGGCTTTAAAATTATTATTATAAATAGTAATGTAATGTGGTATTGAAGAATTAAAAAACAATAACAAATTTCACAAGTAATTGAACAAGCAAGCGATATTTTTGTCATCTGTTGTTCTGTCTTAGTACCACTAATTGTTTTTTAATCTTACTTCAACAAATCTACATTTATTAAAAATCGATTACAACATTGAAATAATTAACTCGGGCAGGACTTGAACCCTCATCCACTGCTTTCCGTGCTGTTGCTCTAACCAATTAAGCCCTAGTCGTCATCGGCGAATTTATTAAATACGTGCGCCTCTCGCGAAATGTAATTGTATTATTAATTTATGTGCACTAATTAAACGGAAGCTCTAACTCCTTGTTAAAAAATAGAAGTTGAACTGTTATACTCTTTCGTACTAAATCAAAGTATATAAAAACATAATCCTCAACTATGAAGTCGAGTAAAAATATAATAAATACGGTTACGAGACGAAAGTAAAAAGTCCCCCAAAGCTTCCGCCGAGGGTCGTACATTTACATCGAGAGCACAAGCAGCTTACTTAAAAACTGTTTATCTTAGCGATCTCTCCGACTTACCTCTTGTTTCCTTTCCCACGTCTTCATCGCTGTTTTGTATTTCTCAAACTCGTGACACCAGTTCGAGTAGATCTTTTGGTACTCATTACTTTTCTCGGGTGGTGAGCATCTGCGGAGGTGAGAGTATTTTTTAATTAAAAGGATAATAATAAAATATAATTCATTCGTGATATACCTCGGCCTATATCAGCTAAACAAGAAGCGATGTCGACCGATTTTGGCTTTAGATATAATCAACCGATCACTTTTTCATCTGTGGACATGTGGTTCGTGACCCGGACTGAACTTCTTTATTCCTATCACTAATTGAAAAATTAAAAATATTTTTGACCCGGTGGGGATCGAACCCCGTTGATTATTAAAAATACTTTGCTACCATTAGATCAATGAGCCCGGCGTTTACTTATTCTACGATATACAGTTGAATTTTTATATATTATAAAATTGAATTAACAAAAAAAAGTTACGATTAACTACACGTTTACTTAGAACAAAACATACATCATCAGTTCAATTATATAACGTCGTTAAAATACGTGGGGCATGGGACGAATACATTTCTGTGTCCGTTGCACTGATCCGTTGATCCGCAAGTTGATCAGACTTCTGTGTCCTGCCCGACCGCAACAATTTTTTGTTTCCCTGGGATTCGAACCCAGGACCTCTCACGCTTAACGCAATGCTAGGCAATACGTTTAGCCATTTGGCTACATAGGCGGTCTAATAAATACATTTAATATCATGCCGTATAAATAAATAGAATAATAACATTATATAATGAAATAAATCAAAATAAACGTATCACTGGAGTGCATAATTTATGTCCATTATTTTAATGATCCTTGTATTTCTACAAACAGAAATAGCTTTCATGGAAATTAGTTCAATTGTTATTGTTTGACACAATTCAGACTTTATCATTTAAATGGTATTAAATCGCATTTCGCATAAGTAATTTTTGCTTGGGGCAGACACATTTCTGTCTAATTGAGTTTTAGGCAGGCAAGACTTTTCTTCCTTCTCTGTCAACTTTGTAATGAGTGCAATTATTGTCAAAAAAAGACAAAAACATAGATACAATATCGGCTTATAAATATTCTAGATTCAAATAATCAGTATAGATTATTTGAATCTAGATATATATTTATAAGTAAAGTAAATATATAAAGCTGATGAGTTTGTTTGTTTGTTGGTTTAAACGCACTTATCTCAGGAACTACGGGTTCGAATTGAAACATTGTTTGTCTTGGTTAGAGCATTTATCTGTGGGTTTCAGATGCGTAGGCTGCTGATGACATTTTAAGGTTAACTTGCAGGAACGACGGGACCCAAACGACGGGTCGCGAGCGACGCGAAGAGACCGATGTCGTGGGCAGCTTAAATTTATAAAAAATTGCAAAAACAAATTTGGATGAAGTCGCTGACACAGCTAGTCAAGTATAAAAAGAGTAATACTACGATCCTATATACATAAAACCATTTTTAATGGTGAAGAAAGAACTAAGATCCTCCTAAAGTACGAAGTGTTAACCTTCACCAAACTTACCTATGTGTATCAACCGTAATATTGTATGAACAAAGAAGAGATCCACCAAGCCAGCAGTCGTAGCGGCCGGCATCAGCTTCATTGACAGAAATTATAAGTAGTCCATGTTCAGATGTCTCTATGTATTTCTCCGGTTTACTGGAAATTAAGAAAAATACCATAAAATTAAACATATGCAAAAGATATTTAGTAATTGAAAATACGTAATCGGGCACTGCAGATATTTTTTTTTATGTTTAAAAATTATTAATAACATTGTTTTTTAGTATATATTTATGTTGATTTATGCCTTGCAAGACCGAGACAATATATTACGAATTATGTCTCGTCGGTATTCAAATCCAGGACTCTTGCGCGAGTTTAACTTTGGAGCTAAAGAAAGTGATTAAACATAAATATTTAGTTTAAAAATCGAAAATAAATTAAAAAAAATCGATTTTTAAATTATATAGCGCCTTCATGTGCAATAACATGTAAACAATATTAATGTTTTTAAACATAAATATTTATTATTATGTACTATTCTTGGTTTTTATGGAATTAAGTCTATTTTTTTTTTATTCGTCAGTCTACTTCAATGCAGTTTCTTTTTTAATGCTTAGTGAATAATTCTTAAACATTAGACATGTTTGAAAATTGTAATATGTTTTACATGTGTTTGCACATGGTCGAATTATATAAATTAAATATTTAATTAAGATTGAAAATAATTTACGACACAGGCGGGACTAGAATTCGTCGTCAATTTTTTTCAATGTATTAACTTAAAATGTTATAAGCTGACTCTATATAAATTATGGAATAAGTCCTCAGTGGCTTGTCCTAGATCAGCTTCATATTTGTTAGAAAACCTTTTAAAACTTTGATTGAAATGTTTTAAGCTCACAATAATGTCGAAACTTTTGATTAAATATTTTAACAATCAATGTCAAACATAGCTTTCAGCAATTTTAATCTAGTTTCGAATGACTAAAGTTTGTTCATATCATTATTTAGGTTCTACTTGTTATGTTTTATTTGATAATAATTATTATGAATGTATAGGCTTTTTCTATTGAAAGGCAGTTTTATTCAATCCTAACTTAATTTATTATTTTATGGTGTTATTTCTTATCATAATTTTTTTTTAGTTACCAGTCATGTAAAGCTTCTAATTCACTAAGTGTTAAGTTTTTTAATATTAAATTGTGGGTTCCAACTATTCATTAAAACTAACACAGCCATTTCGTACAAACATACGAAGGGTTTAAAAGCTAAATGAGGGAAAGGAGAGCGATTCACATTTCCTTAGCGTTATAATTATACCTCACGGTACCAATCCTTATAGCAACGCTTTATTAATCTTATTACAAGTTAGTTAACGAAATATATGTTTGACAAATGTTGAAAAATATAAAGAATTTCTGGCGTTTCGATATTTTAGAATCTGTCCACTAATGCATGACGGTAAACAAAAATAGTATTTACTTACTTAAAGGTGATGAGATGTCGCCCCTTCTCCCGCGAATAATGGAACCAGGTCACAGCTCGTGGTTGTAAAACCTCGGGCATCTTCACAAAGCTGCCCAGGTGTAAGCTCTGTCCCCAAGTAGCAGACACGCTCTTGCGAGATATGGACGAGTCGCAGATGTCCGCTGTTTCGTTCGCGACATCTTGAATTAACCTGTTGGATAATGTTAATTATTATAAATGTAAACAATCAGAAATTACACCAAAAGAGCTTATAATAGGGTTTTATAAGCCACTCGGGTCTTGTGACATTAAGATAAATCAATCGGTGTGTTTTCTTTTATTTCCGTGATTTATGTGTGAGTATTTTAATTAATTTATATTAAAAATTCAAAATGGAATTAGTTAAAAAGAAGGTAGGATTTAGGATTAAGGTATTGCATGCAAAAAATGCATATAAAACATAACAATTTCACGTTACACTCGATTCAAAATAATTATTAATAACACCCGTAATTACACGTAGATTTCGCGTAAATGTAGATGCGCCCGCGCCAATTCGCCTTTATAATGATTGGTGACGTTTACTTGGCAACTGTTGTTGACAATCACAATTGACATACCGGCTATGCTAACATATTGTGTAAAATTAAAATATCGAATGAAATTTTAAATTACCAATTAAAAAAAAATCAATTTCAATTTACGGATAATTAAAAGCTTTATTATTCATTATTGATAAAGGAACTGAAAGATGTTATATTTTTGTCTAGATATACATAAAGCCAATTACATTGCAACAATAAAATTAATTGCAAACCGTATCGAATGGAACAATAATTCTCATATCGATTATTGACCACTGTTAATACTGTGTTGCCCGCTATAAGCTAAAATAAAGGCTTTATTTGAAATTCGAGTTGTTTGTTCTCGTGTGATTATTTCGATACACAATGGATAGGCGGCCAGTGTATAATTAAGAATCGATTTAATGTTATAGATAGTATCGATTTCAAACTTAGTTAATAGCGTCCGGTTATTAAATTTGAAAGCCATGCAATCAGCGGTGGACGAGAACTATGAAAATTATACTTAATTCGACGCAAGTAGCAATCACAACAAACAAATGAAACTCTACTTTAAATATTTTACTTATAAAAAGCATAAGGCTTTAACGTTCTCTTCTCTTCGTGGGATTATTTAATTAAAGTTAAAATGCTGTCAAAAAGTTTTATTAACGAGTTCTTATGCATTTATAATAGTAAAACTAACTTTCAAATGTATCCTACATTATTTTAAAACAGACATGGCAAATAATAGAGTATAAAGCTCTTTTTAAAAATACGTCATTGGGAGTTGCTTGTCGTTAGTCTTGCGCCTGTATTTGTCTCTATCTAAATCTATTTAGGTTTACACATAATGGATATAATATGTATAAAAATATATAAAGATAACTCACCCAGGTATATATTCTCTGCATACGCCCGCGTCTCGATCCCAGCCACAATACGGGTCGCGCGCGCATCTTACGCATGCGTCGTAGCGACGCGCGCATAAAGCGAGCCGTAGCTGTAGCACGCGACGGTCAGACGCCGCGTAGAGGGAGCCGTGAGTGCGAGATATCGCCATTGCCTACGAATATTTTAAACTGATGAACTGTTTGCGTGCTTGTGTAGAAACATGTGATGACATACATTACAATACATATACACCAAAGTGTTTAAAAACACTTTTTATTAATCCAAGGTAAACATTATATTACATCATTATTTAAATAAAGAATTTCAAAAATTAAATGAATAAAGACATCGCAAAGTATTAGTAGTTTTTTCTTCGCAACATTCTCCTGTTTCTTATTCAAAATAAGGTTTTTAATAAAAATATATTAACTTGCCCAGTGGATTATAAGAAGAAGGCATTATCTAGCATTGCACTCAACATTAGAGATGTAGCCAGTTTTATTTAGGTACCTTACTAACTCAAGCAAATCTGTCAATTAAGTCAAACTGATACTTGAGTCTAATGTGCTATTACCAGGCAAAGCATTCGTCATAAGTCATCTTTTAAAAGTGGAGCTCTAAAAAGTAAATCTTTCGTAATCCACCAGTCAATTTCTCTCGCTATAGAAGAGTTAAGCATGGGTACACACCTGAATAGGTTCTCCGGGAGTTACGTCGAATATGTCAAGTAAAGCTGACTGGCTGTCGCCGTTGCGAGTCCACTGAACGATTTTATGAATTTTCCCTTCATCTGTAACAATCAAATATATATTGGATCAGAGAAACGTTCGCCATTCAAATTGGAACACGTGCGATTGAAATTATATAATAAATACGAAACAGTCATATCGCCCGTTGAGGCGTGAAGTCGAAATAAAGGACGAATTTAAAAGAAAACATTGTTCGACTGAAAACAAAAGAATGTTCATAGCTTTTCATACGGTAAAACCGAACGGTAGTAATATTTTATTTTTATATTGTCCATAAAGTTGGGTTGCTTTGTAATTAGGTTTTCGTTAATTGTGCCGGCAACGTCTAGCCATAAGGAGAAATTATAATGGTTCGTTACGTTCGGGGATCAATTAGCGAGGTCTACAGGGCTCCGTGTTTATTGTACTGATTATTTGACTTGGCAAAAAATAATTCGTTTAACGACTAGGTCGACTTCGAATTGAGGCGTTTGCTTTAGAAGAATAACAATGGTACTCGTGATTACTTTACTATTGTGTTTAAATAAATTGTTGTATAGAGAAAATAGCAAGAAAATCCTCGAAAATCAACTTAGAAATTTTAAGATGTAATTGTCATTTCTGTCGTTGACAAGTAACAATCTTAGTAACATTTTTTTAATGACAGCGGAGGATAGACAAAAACGGGATTTACTTGCTGGAAGGTAAAATACCCAGCATTATAAAATCAAAGCAAGATACACCGTCGACCTATTTAGTCTTAGGCATTGGGAAGTCCATACTGAAACCTAATCATAATAAAACTTCACGGCTCTTTAATCTCTGGAAGTATGTTTCAATATTCCTACCACCCATAGAATGTCCAAAATTTTCAAACAAAATCTAACGGCTGCAGAAAAAGTAAAATTGGATTGATTTGAAACACGTTGGACTGGACACGTGGATTATTAGCAATACATACCATTAGACTAACGAGCCCAATATTTCACCGAATCAAAACTGTGCATAAATAAATAGCTTGTCTAATAAAATGATAAATTACAAAGACGTTCGAAGCGACGCCTCAATTAATTTGCTCCGTCGCCGGTGACAAGCCGTGACCTTTCCCTCTACCCGTTTCATTATTTTCAGGGACTTCGTGAACACACTGTTATCAGAAATCACGTTCTAGCTTCGAACGTACGAGAAATCTAATCTAAATAAGAACACGGAATCTCTATTACTATAGAAACCTAATGGAAGCGTTCTTTCACGTTGAAAAGTTTATGTTTTCAATTTGATTGCTTTTTAGCTTAAAACAACGCTAAAGAAGATTAAAAAGTATTCATTATATTGTGAACGATATAAACTAGACAATTCGAAAACACTTAAAATACGAAAAATATAAAGTTAATTTTAAACTATTATGTTGTCACTTGTTAATCTCTACATATACCTCCATACATGTAATCTTATATGATCGAATAGTTGAAATATTTATTGAAACTCACTCTCATGTTAGAATGATTATTCTGTAAGAATGTGCGATTGGTTTTTAATAAATAAATAAAATTATGTACACAAACGAATTAAGGCCTTGTATGACTTATATGGAATTTTATGTACAAAGAAGTTAAACAGTTGTGAATGCTAAAACTAATTGTTCGGCTTATACAGCGAGAGCTACGAATAAATAATTATATTACTTCAAGTTAAGTTTAGACGAGTTATAGTGGAACGAAGTAACACATTCACAATTTGGACGTGACTGGAGATTTTGTAAAAGCACATAAGGTCACAAGTTTCCATACAAAACGAACCAATTCACGCGCGAATTAATATTCGGGCCACGGATCTTAATAGCTAATTGGATTAAGGCATGTATCAAAATTACCTAACTGGGTTATAACATGGTGGGACGTGTTGCAGACGGTTGCGTTTTGTGCGCATTATTAGCGAGGCCCTACGAGTTTATTACATAATGTTTAATATGACGTCATGCTTCGATAAGTTAAGGAAATCATAGTAGCAATATATTGGTAATAACGGGACTTGGCTTCGATCCTCATGGGTCCAACTTGATTTTTTTTATAATAGATATAATAGGTATAATACCCCAGCCTATAGCATTTGGTTTTTGATATTCGGAAATCCACAGACTGAAACCGAAACGTGATTAAACTTGACGGCTTTTTCATCTGCGATCGGTAATCGTGGCCCGGGCGGAATTTTGGTATTCCTACGATCCATTTCAGAAAAAATATAATATGTAAGGATCGAAAAAACGTCCCGTTGATTATTATTAGCCATACTTATTCAAATACTGTCTATAGTTTACGCGAGTAGTACACATTTAAATAAAACACTTTAACGGTTTCCAACGCGATATATTAGTTAAACTTATTTGAAAATGATTTTTAACTTCGGCCCGACGTTTCGGATGCTTTGCAGCAGCCGTGGTTACGGGGAGACTGCTGCTTCACGTGGCCGAAGTTAAAAATCATTTCCAAATAAGTTTAACTAATATATCGCGTTTTAAAGTGTTTATTTAAAAGCCATACGTATTGCTTAGTAACACATACCATCATGTTTTTAATCAATTTATATTTTTTGAAACATGTTCGATTTAATACACATCGAGTAAGATCCTATTCTACCAACAGCACACCCAATTTTTATACTCTCTACTTTTTACATTTTGAGAGTGTTTCTATATGGCTTACGGTAGTAAATAAATTAACTTCAATTCTATTCTTATTTTCTATAATAAAACTTAAAACATAAATATTCACCATTCTCCGTCCTTCGTATTCTATAACGTTGAGAACATACTAACATTACGATTTTCCTTGGTAAAGTAATTAACTAAAATGCGTCCAATTTAAAACGAATATCATCTAATTTGAATAATATACACCAAAATCATGGGCCATTAGTTTCCGCGACTGAAGCCTACCCCCTGATTGACGCAAACAGGCGTGGATAATTACGTACGATGAATATCACATGAACTATGGCCTTAGGCTTGGTGTACACCGATTATAAAAAACCGATACCAAAAAAACTAAGTTTGAGCCGGCCCTTGCGCAAAGGGTTCTAAAATACAGACAGCTAGAATATTGTTTTAGTGGCAAAAAAATTTAACTTGAAATATATCACTAAATTGCTAAAAGGCACAAGAAAAGCGTGTTCAATAAAAAAAAAACGCATTTTAAACAGTCAAAAAGTGTTTAATTAAAAGTGTCTTAACAAAATGTATATTTTGTATTTACGTATTATTTACTAATTTGTGAAACCTATGTGCTTTGACAACTTGTATAAAACACTGAACTGTGACCACGGCTGCTGCAAAGCATCCGAAACGACGGGCCGTAGTTAAAATTAATTAAAAATAAGTTAACTAATGTATTATTATTTTTATATCTATTTTCTACTATATCTTTATTTCGAGTTATAATTCGTTGAAAGTGTTAAAGTGTCAACTGAAAATATCAACACGTAATCAATAAATCCGTACCATGTATAAACAAAAATAATAAAGAGTCTCGATTCAATTTTATGCTATAACAAACAAAGTGAAACATTATCTTTTTCACTCCAAAGCTGCTATTAGTATCTAAAAATATTAACTTTTATAGCTATCGGATAAAATAATCTAGTTTGGTAAACTGAACAAAGGAAGCGTTAGAATATCGACTAAAAGCTAACCTTCATTAAAATGGTGTTTGTACAGAAATGCCCGTCATTAGATACAATAAAACCTAGTGTGATTAACATTGAAGGTGTAATAAAGGATAACGAGGAACATATTCAGGCCAATCGCGGGGACGTAAAGGTTGCGTTATGGAAACGGCTGTCGTTATGAAAATAATATGTGAGGTAACGAAAACTTTTGCCCTAGGATAGAAGTAATATTAATTATTCTTTATTGTCAAATTGTAATACCTAGTATTGTTTGTACCTTATGCAAGTAATACACATTTAAATAAAATGTTTAACGGTTTAAAACACGAAATATCACCAATTTAAGCAGTTCTCCTGTGACCACGGCTGCTGCGTAGCATTAGAAACGTCAGCATGTAGTTAAAATAAATTGTAAATAGATTAACTAATATATTTTACGTTCTAAGCCATTAAAAGTACTTTGTTTAAAAGATTATGCTCATAGTACCATAAATAATAAATTATAATAGATATTAATGTTTATTTATTTACGCTGTAAGTACTGAAAAATTTCTCCTCAGCGGCTCAGTGGTTAAACACTTTGTTTAAAATGGTTAGAAACCGTTAAAAGTGTAGTGTGGACAAGGTAAAGAAATAGACACAAAAATATGGTAAAACGGTTCGCGCACAGATAAAAAATACTTTAATTGTTTAGGCCATTAAAGGTCATTGATTTTGATACAAGACGGGCTGTTGTTCCATTGCTTTAACATTGTCTTAATTTAAAATAATATTGTGTCCGCTTTTTAAAATATAGCAAAAAGGTGACGCCCCGCTTAACCGAGGTAAATGTTCAATAAAGCTTAGTTAAGGTAAAAAATCATCTTCTTAAACGAGTTTTTAAGACTTCAAAAGGGGTAATTTGAATACAAAATACATCACACACACCAAAATTCAGGTAATACATCTTACATTAGAGGCTTTTAAATTTTGACACAGTCTCAGGTTGATGCGATAATAGCAAGAACAAGGGAAAGCGTTCAGTTCCAGCAAGCAAATAGGGGAAGGCATGAAATCTGTTTATGGCAACCCAGTAACGCGCTTTAAGCTTTAAGACGTGACGTCACGTAACATTAGGGGTAAAGGAGGACTCTGAAATTACTTTTTTGCTCATTTGTTGCTGAGATTTCTTTAGCGATACGGTATTTAATGAACACGATTTACAAATCGTTTTTTATCTCGCGCTGAACGTTTTCTCAAATAGGAAGAGATTTTCATTTAAAAAAGATTCATTGTCCGCGTTATTTCATGTTGAAAGTAATGCACGCGCTAAAGAAGAAATGAGAAATGCTCAAATTATTTCGTACGAAATTTAAAGAAGGTTTCAAATAAAAAAAAAATAAGCCTTTGTACTTAAAAC